GCGCGTGCAAAGGGGGAGATGCCAACAGTATCGTATCTGCTGAGGGTGTTTATTTGGAAATCGGGGTTACCGGCCAGTGATTACCCGGTGCGGTCTCTCCTGGACTCCACAACAGATGGGAAGTTGTGAAATAAACAGAGTCCCCCATTCAGGGACACACAGCTGGAGCTCAACGGTTATCTCTAGTCCGTCCTTCAGGGCTCTGTGTGAGCCGGCAACATAAAGAGTGGGGGATTTTCGTCTGGTTCTTCCTGGAAGTGTTAGAAATAAACAGAGTCCCATTTCAGAAACACACAGACGGTTATGTACTGGACAACTATTGAGTGGTACTAGTCATTAGGCCTTTTTTCATATAGTCTCTCGCCGTCTCCTTCAGGGCTCTGTGAGGAGCTCCCAAAAATAAAACGACCCCTGCTGCTGTGCCCTGCAGTTTTGTGACCGATTGGACAAAACACAAAATACTGGCTGTAAACAGAGAAGCAACCTCACTTTTACTTTTGAACTGAGTTCGTTTCTGAGTCCTTCTTCCACTCCTGCTTGATGCGAATCAGCGGATCGTTAATTAGTGGAAATACTTTACAAATTGGCAAGGCCAAAAGAGAATTTGAGGAACGCTTCCGACTTTGCGTGTCATCTTGCCGCAGGGGCCATTGCTAGTCTTCTCTGTATCCGTACCGAATGTTGATTATATGCTGCCTATCGAAACTACAACATACTGCCCTGCATCTGGGGGGCGTATTCCAGGCCTCTGAGCCAAAGGGTCTAACTTATAGTATTGAAGGGTAGCAGACCGCGTAGAGCTCAAAGGGGGAGCAAAACACTCGATGGGTTTAAATGGGCCGCAAAACTGCAGACAGAGGCTGCGTAGCGCATGTCTGTTCGCTGGCCTCTCGCCTTTGCGCTTCTGGCATTGAGTTCCAAACAAGACGCCCCGGTGGCTGCGGTGCTGCACTTGTGCCCCCGATTGGAACCTGATGTCTATTTCAGCCTGATCTGTCTTTAAGGGGTTAAATGTGGGTTGGATGGGCAGCTTTGGCCGGGCTAAGAGCAGGAAACCGCCCGCGTGTCCCTTTGTCGTGCAGACTGGCCCTCGTGCTCTCTCTGGACCCGTCTCACCTCATACTTCGCTGGCCAGGGGAGGATATACCGATGATCACCGAGGTGGTTGACCCGAGGGCCGAGGGCTCGGCAGCCTTGCCAACGCCGCCGTGCTATGCTGACCGGCTGCGAATTCCCCAAATGTGAGAATCTCGAACTGCCTAAATTTGTGGTGGTGGGGGACTGCGTTCGCGCTCTCCCCTGATTATAGTGTTTGCAGAAAAGGTCAAAGACACTGTGGGCTACAGCTTGCACTGTGTGGCGGTCCTTCCTTTGGCTCCAGGAAAGACTTTCTGTGCTGCCGATGTCCTCACCAGAGCGTGTCCTTCGCCTTTGGGCTCGAAATATCTCTGCGTCGTCTTGCAGTGAGGCCTCCCTCTGCGTTGCCACGCTCCAGGAGCCAAGGCAAGTTCAATTTGTCACCTTTAGCTTTCTTTGGCATGAGTCCAAAAGATCCGCTGCTTGATGTGGATGCAGTTCTCTTCCCTCATCTCGAAACCCAATTTGTTGTGTGCGCTTTTCCAGATGCCCATCTTTGTTGTTGTTTTCAGCCGGAGAATGGTTTCAGGGACACAGCTAGACTATCCGTCGGTGCACCGTTCCGCGGAGGCGCTGCCTACGTCAGCTGTGAGCGCAAATCCATTGATGAGTGAACGGGGGCCAACCTCTTCAGCCCTCCCAGCGCTAAAAGGATCGCCGCTATATATTACGTAAGGGGACGGGATATTAAACTGATTAAGAACAGATACTCTACACTTTTGATCTTAGCCAGAAGGCCCGCGAGAAGCGCGATGAACCCTACACGTTTGCCTGCGGGACGACGCGCACTCGTTGCGCAGTCGCCGCAGGTTCTTGGTGCGTGCTCTTTGTGAGCCTGGCGTAACAGAGGCGCTGCGCGTAGGCTTGGACCGCCACGTGCGAACTGACTGCTCTTTCTTGGTCTTTCACAAACTCGGATCCGCTCAGCCTAAATGGGCCAAGTCCCTTACCAAAAATAGGTTGAACTCGTAGGTGTTCCTCTCACGGAAGTCTTTTGTAAAGGCGATAGACTTATACGCTTTGAAGAGAAACCAGAGTAATTGTGGAGGGACCGTCTCCTGGAGAACAGAACACCGAACGTAGTTGTTCAGTCCAGAGCCCCGCGGTGACCCTTCACTTGGCTTTTCCACATCCACGGGCCACACCCTTTCCGCCCAGCTGCGCGTAGCATGGTTCGTTGCTTCACCTGTGGCATTCTTTTGGCATGGAGTCCATAAAAAGAACCCTGCTGCTGTCTCGCCTGCACTTTGTGGCCGTCCCCGATTGGAACCTATCTCTTTAGTAATACGCTTGAGTTGTGTGGCCATCTCTTTTGATGTTATACGTGCTGACTCGCCGGCATTAGAAAACACTCGTTTCGACTGTAAACATCAGGCAATCCCTTTCTAACGTAGGCTCGCCATGAACGCATACTAGGATCACTCCTCCATGAGTTGGGGGGTCGAAAATGACCCCAATTAGAAATCAATGTTGTTTTGTCGAATGAATTAAAAAAAATGTCTCTTAATCTGTCTAAAGGTGATTATATTTTATTTTATTCTGGTCAACAAAAGATCTGATTATGGTACATTTACCATGCTTATTTATAACCTTTTGTTATAAAAAACAATGAGATACGCTCATAGTTATATGTAAGAGTAGCAAGCCGCCATGCATGTGTACACACACACACACAGCACACAGCACACACACACACACACACACACACACACACACACACACACACACACACAAATCAATAATCATATAATAGGTTACCTAACAGGTTAGCTTTTATTAGAAGGAATTATGAATACAGTGAGTCTCTACACAACAAATGCAGTAATATCAGCTGGCTTACTAAACTAGTGTAATGTTAGCTAGCTTAGTAAGCTAGTGTAATGTTAGCTAGCTAACAGAGTACTAACATTACTACTAACATTATTTAGCAGTTAGCTAACTAGTGTCTACTTTGTTGACCAACATGATACTCTATCACAGAAAAGTCATGGAGTTGATAAATGAAGATAATACTTACATGTATGCTGCTGTGTCAAACTGACCTCCTGGTGGTGAGACTGCAGGCATCAGATGTGTAAGTGGGACAGAAAATGTATCCTGACAGTCACAGTTGGTAAGAATCAAAGGTTCCCAAAGCAAACCCTTGAGATTCTGTAGGAAATGCTTGGGGTCATTTTTGACCCCGCTTATGAAAAACTGGGGTAGTGACACAAAAACTGCAATTTCTTAAAATGTATAAAAACATTTAAAAAAATTCAAATGGCCTCAAGTCACAAACATGTTTTATGAGGAATACCTGGAATATGGAAGTGTAAAAACTTTTAATTTCAGAGATTTTGAAGAATAACAACCCTCGGGGTCATTTTTGACCCCACTTATGCATCTAAGGGTTAAAAACACATCTCAATACACTACACTTCCAAACCATCACTGCACACACACTGTCTCTCCGTCTTCCTTCCTTCCAGCTGTTCCTCTCCTCTCATCGGCCATTATTTGTTTCTTTTCTTTTCTTGTACTTCTATTTCTTAATTCTCCCTAGCTGTGTAGCTATATTGTAATTTACCAAAAGTAGTGTCCACACTACACAGTTGATGATGAACAATCTTATTATGTCTTGATTGTTAAGAGGCTAATGACCTGAATAATGAACAACATTTATGGATTGTTCTTCTGTTCCTCTCCACAGATGTGAATGAGTGTGAGCTGCTGAGCAGTGTGTGTGGAGAGGCCCAGTGTAAGAACACTGACGGATCATTCCACTGCGAGTGTCCCAGCGGACAGGACTACAACGTAATGATCGCCAAGTGTGAGCCCGTTCCCACAGGTGACCCCCCCTCCACTGTGGTACAAATTAACCTGCAGACATCAGAGTTTATAACGGTTTTTAATACTGACTTTGAATACTTTTTAATACTATTGATAGCCAATTCATTTAGTTCTTATTCTGGAGCTTGCTACTGAGTTCTTGACTCGTGTACAGTATTTATAATGCTTCATACACACAAGCAACATAATCAAGTTATTTATAGATGTAAGGTTATTAACCTCCTGACTACAAACACTACCAGTGTTGGAAAAAGTACTCTGTTAATTAAATAAAAATACAAATACTATAATCTTACATTTAATGTCCTGATTTCAAAATGTTACACAGGTAAAGGAACAAAAGTACTAGCATCAAAATGTGCTTAAAGTACAAAAAGTAAAAGTACTCAGAATGCAGAATGGATCTTTTCACAGTAGGGTATTATTATGGTTAATATAATGTTGTGTTTTAGATCATCCAAATACAATGTAGATTCGTTGTGGAGTAGAAGAATAAAGTAGAAATAAATGGAAAGACTCAAGTAAAGTACAAATACTTCCAACAGTACTTAAGTAAATACTTCAATAAATGTACTTAGTTCCTTTCCACCACTGAACACAACTAAAAACTACTACCTTTTTAATTAATGTAATACATCTTATAATAAACAATGAAATGCTTGCACTATTTGTATTGTTATTATTATTATTATTAGTTTTTATGTCTTAGTTTAATTGCATTGTTGAGTAACCTGTGACCCACATTTTTCATTCATTACACAACTACACAAATTCTAAAATGTGTATAAAATGCAGTTAATTTCCACATTATATTTACAAAGAACCGAAGACAATCTAATTTTTTTTTTAAACTGAGATGGAACCATTATAGTAATAATAACATGAATAAACGGATCATGAATGACAGCTGAAGCCTGAACTCAGTTTCAGTTTAGTGAATTATTCAGGAAATGGGAACAGCACAGACCCCAGTTCTGAAAAATATGACATTTTAATAAAATGTGTTTGATACTCATCCCTTTGTCTTGTCTCCCTTCTCCCCCTCTCTTCCTCTCTCCCCCCCTCAGTTTCCTCAGTGGAGCGTAAGGAGTGCTACTACCGTCTGAACGATGAGAATCTGTGTGAGAGCGTGCTGACCAGCCACGTCACCCTGCAGGAGTGCTGTTGCACCCTGGGAGCTGGGTGGGGGGACAACTGCGAGGTGTACCCCTGTCCTGTCAATGGCACAGGTGAGGAGGAGGAGGAGGAGGAGGAGGAGGAGGAGGACTGACCACCTCAGTATCTTTACTCCATACACCTTTTTTTCAGTCCCGCAGTTTACCAGTTTGTAGCTTGTGACCAAAACCACACCCTGAAGTATCTTCTGTATAGCACAGTCCTGTTCATGTGTGGACAAATGCTCTATTTGTTCAAGGATTTGACACAAGTCTGGAAGTGTTGAGTTAAAAACTAGCCTAAAGATTGTCTACAGCTGTGGTCCGAGTCTAAGATGTTCACGTCAATTGTGGAATTTCTGGTTTAGGCGTTAGTCGGAGCGGAGTAGCAGTAACAGCAGAAAAGCTCCCTCTAATGATTGCATGGCACATTTCCCCAGCCAAGAATGACCCAAGCACATCGCCAACTGAAGAGTGTGTCAGTCAGACAGGTGATGCAATGTGTCCGTATTCAAATGCCACATGAAAGCTACAGCATGATCCCTAGAGATGTTAATGTTACCCCTCCTCTACACATGTTACCCCAAGCAGTCTTAGCACATTTACTGCACTTAAAGCCACAGTAGAGTGACTCCTGGCTATCCAAATAAGCATGTTTTCCTCTCCTCGTTTCTGCCATTTCCAGTCTTTATGTTCTCTCAAATTGTCAAACTATTTGAAAGTAGAATGTCTGAAGAAAGAGATCTTTTAAGTGCAGTAATTCTGATTCTGACTGACCTTCAAAACATTTGCCTTCAAGGTGACTTTAACTTCTACAACATACAGCTGTATCACAAATGGATGGATGCAGTGTGAGCACGTTACATTAGGTGTAGCTGTGTTTCATGGACCTGCACATCACTCTTGTTTCACCATAATTATCTAAATGTCGGGATGATTTTTCCCTTTTTTTTGTTATTCTTATAAACGGGCATTAGAGAAACGAAACGTCAGGAAGCACCTACAATGATTGATGGTGGCTGATATCGGTGTCTGACCCATTTAAAAACTGAGCAGGAACTGAACTTCTCTTTTGGCTTTTACAGTAAAGTGTACCTCGTGTCCTTACAGTAAATACTGTAGCTTTGCAGACGCACACACCACAGTGCCTGCTCGAATCTTAACCTCTGAACCTCCATGTCTGTCCCCTCACAGACCAGTTCAATCAGATGTGTCCGTCTGGAAGAGGTCTTATTCCCAATGGAGACTTATTGTATGGGGTACCCACAGCTGGCAGCTACAAAGGTAAGGCTGAGCGTCTTTTATTTAGACAACTCAACATCATCCATCACACAGCATCATTTGAGTCCAGCAGGAAGCAACACAACTGGATGTGCCCATTTAGAGTCTGATATCAGCATGACATGACGATGCTTTTTGAGTGCATTTATAAAATACCCTGTCCATGGGTGTGTGTTGGTCACAATTCTTAAGAAGATAAATGGAACTACCACAGAATACATTTGGAGTAATTTTCCAGGTGTTTATCTATTGCACTGTTCCAAAAGTGGAAGATGCATTCATGAAACGTTACGTCCCAGATGTTTAGTTGAGATAAAAAGAGCAAGGTTTGCCGGCAATAAGAGGATATGAAGTTTTGGATTCAATCATTCAAACTTTGTTTGTACAGACCTTTCATACAAGTTCAGTTCACTGAACAGTCAGCAGTAATAGGGGTCTATTTCAGAACCTTTACAAGGGTCTTCATGCACTTCCTATAACTGTTTCTCTTCTCTCCACAGAGGCCTCCAGGCTCAGGGGCCCATTCTTTTTTATGATACTGATTTGTAAACAAAACACCTAACGCTACTCCATCAAGGGCATTGTTTTCTAGAATGTATGTATGTAAGCATTGCAAAGTGTATAGATGTATCTAACAGGAAATGTCTTAAACCCCAATTGTACAGCATATACATATTAGAACGATTCCAGCTTGTTGTTGGAAAAGCTGTTGTGAAGGCACAACATTCACTGGTCATGGATTTATGTCAAGTTGTGAAGGTATCCTAGGATGCATTTCATATCAGGTTAAAATAATCAAATCCATACGGCAGTGAGACCTGAGAATATCCAGTCCTGTAACTTCAGATATATTGAAAGAGAAGAGTTAAGATTGAATCTGATTCTAACAGTTAGCAGCACAGAGACAGAGCTGGTCGAAATATTCAACACAAACACTGAAACACGTTCCCTGTGAAACCCTAATGAACCTAGGTCACAATGTTTCAGGAGTTATATACATGTACTATTACAAACTTTGTGTTGGTATCCTCTCCATGAACTTACATGAGGATGATGATATTATGTTCCTATATCCGTATGCTAACGCTACATGAATGCTACATGCACAGCACAGTTACTCCTGGCTCTCGGTCATTAATTCTGCGAACATGTTTCCTGTCTCTGTTTCAGACGCAGATGAGTGTGCGCTGTTCGGCCAGGAGGTGTGCAAAGGAGGCTTCTGTTTGGACACGGTGGGCAGCTATGAGTGTTACTGCAAGACCGGACAGGACTACGACCCTGCCAGACTGGAGTGCAGAGGTCGGCCTAATACAGCGTTACACAAACCCAGAGTGTGTCTGCATGCATGTGTGTGTATGATGTGTGTGAGTTAGAAGTTCACTCCATTGCCTGTTGCATTCAATCAATAATAAGCAGAAAGACCAGACTATATAGTACCGTATCTATCTTCCACTCACCTGAACCAGGAGGAACGCACATCTACTTTTGAAGTGTCAAAAACTGTGGGTCAAATATCTAAGAAAAAAAAATGTAGATGGCTTGAGTCACAGACAGATTCAGCTGCTTTTATTCACGGTCATAGTGAAATCAGTCAGTCAAAAGTTTGGAAACACCTTTTCATTCAATGGTTTTTGTTTATTTGAATTTGTTTCTACTTTGTAGATTAATACTGAAGACGTCAAAACTATGAAAGAACACATATGGAATTATCTAGTTAACAAAAAAGTGTTAAAAAATCCAGAATATGATTTATATTTGAGATTCTTCAGAGTAGCCCCGTTTTGCCTTGATGACAGCTTTGCACACTCTTGGCTTCTCTCAGTCAGCTTCATGAGGTCGTCACCTGGAATGGTTTTCAATTAACACGTGTGCCTTGTCAAGAGTCCATTTGTGGAATGACTTCCCTTCTTAATGTGTTTGAGACTTTTCTGGTGTCACTGTTGGTGATTTACTCAGAATTCCAGGCATACTTAACCAGCATGGCTACCACAGCATTCAGTAGCAAGCAAAATATAAATCATATTCTGGTATTTTTTTTACACTTTTTTGTTTACTAGATAATTCCATGTGTGTTCTTTTAACTTTCCTTTTCTGGGCTCAATATGTGTCTTGGCCGTTTTTGTTGTGATCGCTAAATTCACGTATTTTCCCCTTGATTATAATATCATCACAGTTCCAAGCAAACGAGTGCTTTTGTTTTGAAATCACATCCGTGAGTTTTTCCCCGCACCTCGCTCCAATGACCATGAGACCATTTAGTAAGGTAAAAAGCAAAAATGCCTCTCAGACGCTCTTCCGTTTACTTGTTTAATAAAGAA